GGAACAATTTGCTCCTTTTCAGTGAGGATCATCTCGATGTGGCAGGGGGAGCTCATGTATGGGTTAATCCGCCCATGAGCTCTGTATGTATGACGGCGCATCTTTGGTGCCTTGTTCACCTGAATGTGCTCAATGACCAGAGAATCCACATCTAACCCCTTAAGTTCAGCATTACTCTCTGCATTTTTAAGCATGTGCAGCAAAAATTCAGCACTCTTTTTGGGCCACCGACCTTGTGTCCAGCCCCACTGTTTAGCCTGGGCACATCTACCAACTCCACCATCGTAACGACGGAGTGGTACACACTGCTTCTGTAAAGTGACATCCTTCAGATACTTGGTGGCTTTTCAGATATGCATACCCTTGATGGCCTGGGCAGTTTCACGAGTGTTCTTAAAGTGAACACGAAGATTTGAACCTCTTGACTTGCATGACTTTGTGGGGTTCTCTGGGTCAAGTGAATAGCGAACCATTTTCAAAGATCACCTCAGGCTGCTAACGAGAAGAGTCCTGGTATGTTTTTCAAGCTGTCGGGGATGGAATTGGAACTGTGATTGGGCATGTGGGATCTGGCTCCCTCCACATAGCACTTGACCACTGTGCTATGGGGCTGGCCAGAGAAACAAAGTTTTGAAAGATAGAGACAGAGAGACAGAAAGCAAGAAATCACCCCCAGGGGGGATGGCCACGCCACAATCCCTTCTCCTCCATTCTCCTCTTGGGATCTTGCACACGCACGCATACACGGTCTAGCGTGTTTAAGCCACCAGGTCCGGGACTCGAACCACAGTCAACTACATGAGAGTCCAGTGACATAGCCATTACGCCAATTGCTGGTCCCTGTCATTCCAAGCAACTCTAATAAAAAAAACCAACATATACATTGCTGATATATGCTACTTGCAGCACCAGTTGGAATCTAATACTAAGCCAAAAAACCTTATTTGGGCCAGAAGTCTTTTCCTTTCTCTACTCCCCTCCAATACTCCCTATCTCCAAGGACAACAAAGAAGCAAAATGTCAATGTATTTCCTTTCTCTGCTGCAGTACAGGGAGCAGGGAACTGACCAGAGGTGGGTGGCAGAAATCTGAGAAGGGAATAGAAAGGTCCTGGGCAAGATGTGATAAATTCTCTTGCTCAGCCTCTACAAATTTCTTTGCTTCCTTTCTTTTTTCACTGAAAGGCATCCACCTCATCTGAGTGCATATGACTCCATGGTTAGCAACAATCAGAAGCAGAAATTGACAGATTATCTGTAATGGACGTTATTCCGTAGTTTCTGTTGTTTAAAATGCTTTATCTCTGAGCCAGCCCCCAGCTCAGCAGTTAAGCACTGTGCATAGGGAGCCAGATCCCACATGGCCAACTGTAGTTTGAATCCCAGCCCAAGCAGCTTGAAAAACATGCACGCCTTTGTGGGTGCATGCCCCAAGTCCTGCAAGATAGAGAACTGGAGGAAAAAGGATTGCGGTTTGCCACAATAGAAACAAATTGCTTTTCTTTGGCCATCTGGAGGAGGCTGCTGGCTCCTATTACACATCCAGTGTTACAAACAAGGGCTGTGACTTTTCTGCTCATCCCACTCCAGGAAAGCTGGTGTTCTCACTTTCAGAGGCGATGGCCACAGAGCTATCGAGGTATTTTCCCCCGTTTCCGCTCTTTCTTTGGGACCCTTGCATATCGGACATCCTAAGATGTCCTTATTGCTGAGAAAAGCACAAGTTATGTAAAAGGAGCACTCCTTTTCTATCTTTTTTGTTTTCTCTCTCTCTCTTCTCATTAATCAGAAATGAATTAATAATAAAAACATTCCCCTTTTTTGGCTCCACGGTTGTATTATAGTCATTGTCAAAGGCGAGTCTGTCTTCTCTTGGCTAACCTCCTGCCCCCCTCTTCCAGCCTCCTCAGTTAGCGTGGTCGATTACTGTGCCTGCCTGTCTGATCTTAAGTGACTGTTCCCTTTCTGGGTCACCGATCATGGCTCTGCTATTCTTCTTGGGGCAATAAATACCAGTCTGGACTGATCAGCATGGAGACCTCTGCTTTGCAAGCCCAGAAGCCTCCTATTTCTCCCCGAGCTCTCATCATTCATGAAGTTCCTTCTCTTGGTTTTGATTATTACTCTGCTGCTGGCCCGGGTCACCCCAGGTAACCAGGATCTCTCCCAAAGGGCTGTGAGCCAGGGAACCTGACGCATGGGCAGGGAACTCTGAGGCATCTCTAGTTTGGACTGGGAGAACAGCCTGGCCGTCCCCATGGAGGCCTGTGGATGGTTTCTCTAGTCCAGGGGAGGTTTGACTTCTCTGATACCAGCTGATTTCTCCAGTGCCGGTTACTTGGCCACTCTCCTCCAGGCTCTCTCTTGTTGGCTCTGGAGAAGCTGAACAGGATGACCTGGAGGTGAAGCAGGGTTCAAGGAAAGAGGCTTGGGTATGGCGTTCTCAGAAAACAGGGCTTTCCCAAAAACATTCCTGGGAGAATTTGAATTTTGGTCTCTAGGTGCCTCCGTGAAAATGGTTTACTAAATTTCTGAGGATTCTGATTACATTTTATTGTACGAGCCCAAATTACCTTTACTGTTTTAGACTATAGGTTCCCCAGAGCAGCTGTTACCGATTCTTCCTACTGGTTAAGACCAGTGAAATGTCCCAGGATGTTGTGAAGAAAACTGTGGTGTTCTTGAGAATTTTATAGGTGTTCTAGAAGACATAAGGTGGTGAATTGGATTTATTTCAGATTCCTTTCCCCTTTCATTAATATGGCCAAAGAGGATACCAAAGGGCGAAGGGGAAGGGGGCTAATTGCTACTGGGGGACCTAAATAATATGAGAGAGTTGATATGGGGCTCTCTTTCTTCTCTTTGGAGACCTGGCCAAGGAGGGGAAGCTGCCCAGTAGGTTCCATGCCACTGAGTGGCGGGACTTGGGTGGCTGTGACTAAACACAGTGGATATGAAGAAAGGAGAGTGGTCTGTAATCTCTCCTACACCTGGGGGTACACTGCAAGGATTTGTCCCCACAGACAGCCTTATTCCCTTTCTACATTATTTTTTTTAAAGATAATTTATTTAATTGTATTTATTTATTTAAATTTGACCAGAGGAGAGACATAGAGAGAGAGGGAAATGAGAAAGCAAGCCACCAGGTCCGGGACTTGAACCTCAGTTGGCCAAGTGGGAGTGGAGCACCTTGACCACCATGCCATTTGCTGGCTCCTTTAGTACACTATTCTTTTTATTAAAAAAA